ACTGATTTAACTTTAATTTAAAAAAACAATATATCCTTTTTAGCAGAATTTTTAAATAAATTATAATGAATCATCTTTTTTCAGAAAATTATTATTATAAAAAGTGACATGCATTCGATAGGAATTATTTCAATGAGATCAAATACTATTGTAGGATTCCTTTGTATTGTGAGTTTGATTCTTCTCATTTAGCGAATTTGTATCCTGCACGGGTTGCCTTGATATAGTGATTAGGTAACAAGCATTATGAAAAGAGATGGATAATGGACTAGCAGTGGAATCCAGCAGCTAAGTGGATAACGCGATGCCATTTGTAGCCGAAAGTATTGAGTTTGAGCCTTAGATTGAACATCAACTCGGGTACAGGTGTATGCAGTCACAAAGAGGACAAAACACGCTTTCTGGATCCCCTCTGCTGTTCACTGTCGATATCCGCTTATAACCACTGCGGAATGTTTTTAGAAATCGTCCAATTTCAGGATCATTTGCATCATGAGCTAACTTAAACTAAAAATAGTTGATGACTAAGAAGTGGATAAATTTTACACTGAATTTTGAGGCTCTTCAGAAATGTACATCAAACATTTTTCTGTTAGCCGAAAAAGAGACTTCAGGAAGTTCAGATGACTCCATGATTTTAAACCACTGAATTCAAATTCAGTAGTCCATGTGGTGAAGAAAATTTCTAGCTCAGATGGATGATTGTGATGAAATTTCGTTCTCCGGGATGGATGTTTTGGTTGTAGAGCTTTATTTGTTCTTCTGAACAACACCATCATCTCAAACTTCAGCTAGAAGTGACATATTAGAATTTCTCCTCATATGGCTCGTAGCTTTTTCTGTTGACTTCTATCTTCATTGGTTGTTAACAACTAACGCTTGTGCTGATGATGTTGTTCAGAAGAACAATAAAAGCTCCACAACCGACGCATCTAGCTCAGAGAACGAAACTCCATCACTGTGGTCTGTATCTCTGACTTAATTGAACTTATGATTTTGAACATAATATTTGGACCTTATCCATTTCTTGATTCTGCCTAAGTTTATTAGCCAGAATTAATCGTTTTCATTCTTATTGTATTTTCACTTCTAATCTTAAGTTGTGTTCATTTCAATCACTGAAATAATCATTTATATTAAACATGTAACCTGCCGAACGAGTGTCGAGGGGGTAATATAGACCAATATCTTTGACATACACTACATACGGTATTCAAAACCATGAAGTTTATAGCATCTTACTGTTCATACATCCTACCATATAGAAAGAAATCCATCCAATATACAATAGTTACTCAGCATGATACCTTTGAATATATTGAATTAATAGAGATTTAAAAAAAACTCTAAATGTAACTTGTTTATTTGATATAAGAACTGATAGTTAACAATGACTAATGACCACACATACAATGATAAACTTCAATTATCAATGAAAACAAAACACGAAATAATTAATAAGTTCAGATATTTTGAACAAAGGTCTATTAAATTTGTGAGCATTAGTTGAAGCTAAAAAAATTGGAAATTTTTTTTACTAAAAATTGTTTATATTACAGCAGCAAACAAGCAAGAAATATAAATTAACTGAATTTTCAAAATAAGTATCACTGCTTAAAAGAAGTTATATGTCAGTTGTTTCATTCCATGTCAATAGAAGTATAGAAAAAAATAGTTCATATAAACAATATTAGACAATAACTACACTTCTTTGTGTCCCTGTCAAAATCTCCCCAGTTTCATGGTTTCGTAAAATTTATTTAAAAATATTTATTATTTCACTTAAAAATCCTTTGGAATTTTAGGATAACATCTTTCTCTATGTAGAAACATTGAGCATAAATTATTCAGACATTAGGGTTTACCAGCATCTTCTATTTACACCACTACGCTGAAAGTGACTACAGTCTGTCAAAACCAATGAGATAATTTTACAAAAACTCAAGACAGCATCTCTTCAGTAATAATAGATCATGAATTCTTTGTGATATCATATAATCTATGAAAGCATAATGTATTCAGGAGTTATAAATCAGGAAATTCAATATTAAACTGCAACGAAAATCATATAGTTTAGCTCTCAATCATAAAAGTCAGACCTTGAATTTGATCATCATTGGCCAAACTAATATAACACATTTTATTTGAATCTATGAACACCACAATAATAAATAGAATTCTTTACAAAAAAAGGGTTACTTTTAGCATAAATCATTAATTAACTTTTATTCTCATAAGAATTATTCAAATCACTATCGTAATCGCATTGTATCTATTTTCAAATTCTAATTCAGAAAATATAGTATTACAGTCTGTATAACTAAAGAATAACAAGTTTTACCAGCTTTCAGTTCTATACGCTTAAGTATAAAATTTGTAATTAGAATTACGGAGAACGCTTATGGCGAACGCCTAACCCCTTGGACCGAAATTCTCGGATTCAGAATCCTGTACGGTGCAGGAGTCGTGGATGCACACTGCTGATGAGTCCCACACCAGGACGAAACAGCCGTCCAGTGCTTCTCAGGTTTCTAATGATGGTCTAACAATGATTGATTGATGATTCCAATGTGTAAAAATTGTTTTAAATTTTATGGAGCAGAGATTTCTAAAGCAAATGATGTGATCAACATTTAATGATTAAAAGAAACTGTGTTATTCTAATATCAGTTTGTTAATGACGTTATTATTAGTTATATAAACATAGAAAGTTAAAAATGCAGAGAAATATCGATTCTGTAAATAATTTATGTAAAAAATGCATATCATATTTTCGAATGCGTTTGTTTAAGGCTTCGACTCAGTCTCAGCATCGAAATTTTCCGACATCAGAGAAAATGGTTTGTTTTACGATTTATAAACAATATCATAATGCGATTAAATTGGTCTTCACAATATATGTAGCATTATCTTATATGGCTTTTTAAATAGACTAGATTGAGAAGTAGAACCAACAGTTAGAGATGTGTTTAAATAAAACAGAAGTTGACAGTACCATAAGGCTGTGGTTTGAGTCATATATATATGTTATTTTATGTGGAACCATAAAATTAGAATTTGTGATTTATGATTTGGGTACAGAAGCAATTGAAAAATAAATTCTCGACAGTTAAACTACTAACAATTTGTAAGTAGGTTATATTTCATACTATATTATTACACATGAACTTATCACTCTGGAAATTCATTTCAGTTCCACATTCAGTATATGAAATATTCGTAATAATACCAGAGCTCCAAGTGACCATTTATCATGGAAGGCACCATCCTTTCATAACTAACTGTACATCCAATTAAGATTACGTCAATCAATTTTGAAACAAGATTGAAAAATAAATGAACTAACAAAATATATGGTAACTGTTTGCTGGTACGCTCAGAGCTTGTGTTCGACTGCACCGTCAACCGCATTTCTCGTAAGACATTCATAGTCAGTAGAACTTACCGATGCAAAGCAAATTATTACTGAAAGTTACTACCTATGATGAAGCATGTTTGTTTAATAAAAGTTTACTTCTGGTTAAGTTAAACTTTGTGACTGTTAAGCAAGACAATTAGTTTGTAGGTCACACACTTTACAACGAATTACGATTTAATAGCCAGACTTAATTCTTGGTCAAAGTATCAACGATAAAATCTCTGCAATACTCTTAGCAAAAGTACATTATCAGTGCATGATATGAATATCTAGAAAGAAAACAATTCATACTACATATCTTTGATTTATTTTGCTTCATTTAAAAAAAAATTCACAATCCAGTCTCTATCTTGATAATGCAGGCTTATTTAACAAACGATTTGTTTTACCTATAATATTAATATTTCTTGGGTGTTGACTTCCGGAATAATCAAGGAAAATAACTTAGCATTATTTTACATTCCTCATCAATGCGAACCAATCAAAAGAAACACTAGAATATAAGTGTATAACATCTTCTATATCTAGAAGTTATTGACATTTATAACTTTAGTGAGAAAACTATTGAGATAATTTCAAAAAATTTACGGAGAATTACATGCCTAATTTGACTACATTGTATTCAAGATGTAGTATGTGTGTAATCACCTGATACACGAAAAAGTACATCCGCTAAATTATGGCTAAAGCTAAAATTTAGAAAATATAACAAGTTAACTTCTTAACCAACTAGTAATCTAAAAATAAGGATTGATTGGATTTCACTACATCAATCTTAAATAATCTATTTATTGACCAGCACTCAGTTCACTTACAATGAAAAATATCACTAAAATGTTTTACACTACTAATAGTAGTACGAATTAATCTGTCAAATTTACCAATTCGATGGTAAAATTGCCGATACACAAAAGAAATACTTTTTACTGTTGTGAAAATATGATCATAAACGATTTACATTTGGTTTTTTTTAAAATATATTATGGGTCAATAGTTTTAAATAGCTTTACAATTAAAAGAAATCATCAGGAACTGATGTCAAATATCGAAGTGAGAACTAAACAGCTATTTCTTTCCAGTGTGACACGCAAGCACTGTTCAGAAGTGAGAATCCATTAATTGCTTATCTACTAAATACATGTTAGGCAGATTAAAATACGGAGATGAAACAGATTTCCAGTGCTTCCTAGTTTAAGACGGTTGTGTTTTGATATCAGTGAATGTGTACTAAAATACGTAAATAATACTCTTAAATCAAATCGAGATGAGATCGAATGGCTTTTATTTAAGTTACGTAAACCGATTAATGAATAAAAGCTAATAATATATCAAGTCTTCGACTATGTAATTATGTTGGTTGAAGATAACTCCATAGTAAATCCTGATGACGTCCCAAATGAAAACAATATTGTTGGCTTATATATATGCTGGTCTGATAGATTTTGTAACTATGATGAAATTCACATCGTATCTCTATAACCAGAATTTTCAAATGATACATCTAGGTGCCGTAGTTACTGAATACAATATTTTCGTTGACCATAAACAATACCGCAGTGATCAAAAAAAAATTAAAACAAAGTATTCATAAAGCATCAGTTTTATCATTCTGATTTTGTCTCATAATAAATTAATTTTGGAAAAGATTTTGGAACATTGACAGGTAAATAAAAAAAATAATAATGATTACATTAGCTTTCAATACAGAAAAACAAATTATTATTTTAAGAAAAGCAACATGAAAAAAAAACAACATTAAATCATAATATTCCTCTCATAATAAAACAATCATAGAAAAATAAAATTACAATCATAAACAACAATGATGATTGGCCAGATGCAAAAAAAAAACCACATCATCTACTTCATTCTTTCTGGTAGATTTTAAGAGATTTTAAAAAAATATTTATCTAAACTTTCAGAAGTAGGTTTAATTGATTTCGATTGCTTTTTTGACAATTTTGATTGTTGTGTATTCGATTTAACTTGAGTTGATTTTTGACAAGATATTTTATTTGACAATGAATTATCTACTTGATTTAAATTAGTAGTATTATCAGTTTTTGTGATTATTGTGCCTATTGATGATGATGATGATGACGGGATTAATGTTGAATTGACATTATGCTCTTTATCTGACCATTCATGTTGTATACGTTGAGCTACATGAAAATCTTCATGTTCCGGTAATTGCCATACAGATATACGTGAATTACACTTATCACATATAATCCAATCACCAATGGAATATGATTTGAAAAAATTAGACGAATCTGAAGTATTTGATGTTGAATGACGTGATTCTGAATCAAATTCTAAATAAGGTGAATCTTCCAGTGTAGACAATTGATGATTATGTTCTAATGATTCATCTGATTGTATACTAATAGTTGTTGGTGTTGTTATTGAATTGGAAATAAGTTTTTCATTTTGATTTTCTATTGATAAATCATCTTTATTCTCACTATTATTATTATTATTATTATTATTATTATTATTATTATTATTATTATTATTATTATCGGGATTATCAATTATTACAGCTGGTTGAAATGGTGCTGAGATTTCAGCAATTCGTAAACGTTTAAAAAATGAAAGATTATTTGTGTTGTTGTTATTGATAATTGAATCATTGGAATTACGTTTTCTTTGAGGTGGAATATTGACGGTATCATTTTTATCATTATCATCATTATTATCATCCGAAGATAATTTAACTGATAATGATAATGATGAAGTATCTTCTTTTACACATGGAATTGATTCTGGTTGAGTAAGAAGTGTATTAGACTTTATTGATTCTGGTTGAGTTTTTCGTAGTAAACATCGAATATCAACATTTGAAGTAGAAGAATTAGGCAGGAATTTCCCAGCTGAAAGACCTAAACAACTGATACCAGGATCCCTAAACAAAACAAACAAAAAATATATATCAAATTTCATCATAACTAAGGTTAGAGAGAAATAACAACCACAATAAATTATGTTATAAAACAATGGTCAAAAGGTTAGTTATCCTAATACATGTAACTGACTTATGATGTGAATATTGTAAAAGGAGATAACGATTGAAATTGAAATCAAAGGTGTATGCGTTCAATTCTATCTGAGACTTATCAAATTAGTGTACCTTTATCCCACCCAATGTTATATACACTGAAACTCAAGCTAAATGCTTAACGTTTCAAACTGAACAGAATTACGCATAGAACATACAAGTCACAATCACCACTATTTTATTCCAACTGGCATGAAGGAAATTTGTTTGCGGTTCAACTCCTTTTCCATTGTGAATTTTTCATGTCATCGAAAATGTTGTTGATGAGATTGTAGGTGATTATGCGGTAACCGTAATCATCAATGGAATACTGTTCATGATTTTAAAGTTTTAATCTAATAATCAGGATACATGAAACTGTTCACATACATTTAACACTATCACGTAAAGTTATTAAAGCACAATAATAATGATGAGTGAGGTACATTAAAAATCTAATTCAAATGTATCGTGAATGTTACAATAAAAATAGAACTCACCATATTTCCGGAGCTTCTCCTTTAAAAAAGACTTCCTTTAAAGTGACCAAAGCAGTATTGGCAAGTTTCTCAATTTGATTTTGATATTTAAGTAATTTATTATCTAAATCACTGGTATTACTACAAGTTTCATCATCATTATTCACGATACTACGATTTCCATAACCAATGAATTGTAAAAGATTAGCTGGAAGTGTACGTGATATACCTCCAAAATATCTTGGATCATTTGTTGTCCGAGCATAAACAGTTAACCGAGTAGGATAACGTTGATATTGATGATAATCAACATCTAATCTTTCAAATATTTCTTCAGTTAAACATAATAACCATCGTTTAATTTGTTCACTTGATGTAAGTGTTGCACGTCCAATGAAATTTTTACTACAACCAATAGATTTTGGAAGTGATCGAGTAGTAACCACTTCATGATCAATACCATGCGATAAGTCATGAAGCCATTTTCTACAAAATGAAAAATCAAAATATCATAAATCATATTGGGAACAACGAACTGCATTGTTATTTACCACAATACATCAATTACTTCTTCCACATAATGAATGACTAAGGTAATCGATCCCATGACCTCATCAAATAATATCCATTAAGGAGCAGAGTAATAACATAATAGTACACCGTACTATGTTCACTTTCCTAAATATCAGAAGTCTTAACCCACATTATCATGATAATTATGTTCAATCATTGTCATTACTATATACCGTCAACTGTATATACTACCAGTTCCAAACAACTTCCATGATTTGTGTAGCGTGGAGTTTAGTTCAATTTTGATAATGGTTCGATATTGTTACATAGTTAATCGTTTGCTTGCAAATTATTTCTTAAACAATTGTTTGAAGGGTAAACCTTCTTGTTGATTATACTTTGAACTGTTATGAATGCATCGGATGCCTCACGACTCGAGACTTTGAAAACTTAACTATTTATATTGTCCTTTTTTTTCTCCAATAATACCGTTTTCAGAAAGAATTCGTGGTTTGTTATTGGAATTTTGCGAATCACTTAATCGTCTGATCATAAATCCTCGTGAGAATACTGCAGTCCCATGAACAAAATGTTTCAGATTTTGTGGTGCTTAAATTATTACCAATAAGTGACAACTATCATACATCGCCTTTAAGAAAACAAACTAACCAGAGATCGCATTAATAATATACACCAAATAATAATAAATATACATGGTGTGATTCTTGAATTCTTCACTAGTCATCAGGATGATGATGAAACACGAACATTTTGTAAGAATATGATCAGAATCCATGTTATTCAAACGACAACTGTATGGTACTGTAAACTTCTATTTCATTAAAACACATGACCATATAGCTAACTGTTGGTTCTACTTCTCAATCTAGTCTATTTAAACAGCCAAATAAGATAATGAGTTCACAAATCAAAGAGTTTTTTTTTCAATAAATGCAATTTCGATTTTTTTTGGAAGAAAAGACAATTACACACAACTTTTATGAATGAGTTAAACAAGACTTACGCGGTTTTTTCACCAAATTCTTTTGTAAGTATAGACAATGGAATTGAACTCAGTTGACCGAGTGTTTCAATCTTCAGTTGTTTAATGACAGTATCTCCTAATTTGCCACCTAAATTACGTCTTAAAAAAAAAATTAAATATGGTACTAATTTAATAGCAATTTTAGAAAGTCATTTCAGTATTACAAAAGTGATTCAATAACAGTATGAGAAGAAAGAGATGCTGTTGTACGGTGGTTATGAATAAGCAGAAACTACCTTACACACACAAGAAGTTGTACTGATGCTTTCCAAGGTACAAAAAACACTGACAGGATGGAAATCTCATGGACCCATGACCAATAAACCATCCTTCAAAACAAACAAAGAGGGTATCAAAATGAACGTCATCCAATGCCATGTGGCTACCAACGATCACAATAAAGAAGATCAATTCTATGAGAGGTTGCAGTTAATCGTTTACAAATGCCCATCAGAGCACTTGACCATTCTGATGGGAGACCTAAATGGCAAGGTTGGAATGGATAAAACTGTATTTGAAGATATTATGGGGCGACAAAGACTGGAAGAAAGCAACGAAAATGGTGAAAGATCCACAAACCTATGTCCCTTTAACAAACTGGTCATTGCCTGAACGATATTCTCATATATACGCATACACAAAGCCACATGGATTACATCGGACCACACCACACAGAACCAAATGGACACTATCTGTATCAACAAAAAGTTCAGAAGGACCATGGAGGACGTGAGCACAAAGAGAGGAGCTGACATGGTGTAGTGAATGAGAACACAGGTGGGGCAACCGAATTGTATTTAACGAAAATTACACAGTTACTCATTAAAATCGGAAAACCATATCGTAAATTGTTCATTAGCAAAGGATCAGTTCATCCTATCGAACTGGATTGTTCCTGTTGCCAAACATCAATCGATTGTCACTATTCATGCGTTTCATACAAATTCCATCGTTTTCTAACTCTTCCTTTCTTGATCTTCCCCCATATTATGCTGCCAGACATTACGTTGACACTCACGTCATATACTACTTATAAGTAGCTCACACCACAATGGTTTCAGATCTTCACTTGGTGGTAGCCAAAATGAAACTGAAACTCTAGAAGCACTGGAAAACGGGGCAGACAACATCAAGAAAACTTAATACGACGAATTCAATATCACAGTCAATACTCTGGATAAGATCCAATAAAGCAACAACAAAAAATCAGCATCAATATCTTCCGAATAAGAACAGAGAAAGCTAAGGCACAAGCTGAATACGCAGAAGCAAAAAAGCAAGTGAAGAGAGCAGACAAACGTAAATATGTGAGAGAGCTAACATGATAGCAGAACAAGCTGCAAGAGAGAAAAACATAAGACAATTATACGATACAACAAAGAAGATAGCTGAAAGGTACAGTAAACGATAACGATAGGTTAGGGACAAAGAAGGTAAACTAATCACCCAGATCCAAAAACAGAAGAATAGGTGGGTAGAGCACTTTGAAGAACTCATGAATAGACTAGGTCTATTTAAACCACTTAATATCGAAGTAGCACCTACAGATCTTCCTTTAAATACCACCAGCAACAAAGAAATTAGCAGGGCTATCAGACAATTCAAGATTAGCAGAGAAGCAGGGCCAGACAACATCCCATTTGAGGCACTGAAATCAGACAAATGCAACTCCGAATGCTCCACTCTATTCAGTGAGATTTGGGAGGAGGAATAAATACTAACAGGTGGGAACGAAGAAATTAAAGAAAGATCTTAGCAAGTGTGATAACTACAGAGAACAAGAAAAGAGGTTGTATCTGCGCCATTGCAAATGATTTTGAGCCATGTCGTTCAAGGTCTCTAACCATCGGTTACTATTACCTGGTGGACCCCAACCAGGTAGTCTACATCTACCAACATGACTCAGTTCACTTGTCACTGACTTCATGGATTTCTGCCATATTTTGGTCTGGCAACCCCTAGCTTTCTTCCAACTTACTCCTACACCACAAAACATAGATCGTCGAGACAGTCAGCAGGTTTCAATACTTCAATACTTCATCAATTAATTTTCCATCCTTACCTAGTACCCGTTTCCTAACAACAGCATTGCCTACTCGTTTGTCCCAGGATACACGAGCAATGCTTCGAAGACATCTGTAACCTACGAATATCTTCTACTCTTACTAGCCATGTTTCACACCCATATGGTAGAACACAGCGAACTGGTGCTCAGTACACTCGTCCTATGCCATAAGTGACACGAGTTGGCAAAAGCGAATCGAGCGTTCTGTATTTGTGTTGAGATTTCGGCGCAAACCAGGTCATGAGCACTGATGAGATTCCCGAAAACAGTGAAGCAGTCGACACGCTAAACTTCTTCACTCCATATCACTAGTTCATGCACCGATGCAAGCCAATCCTGAAGCAACATTTTGCATTTCGAGAGGTAGAACCGCATCTTAAACATGCTTGCATTGTTGATTAGGATAGTCAGAAGACTGCATTTCTTCACCATCTTCATCAAATAGAACTATATCGTCGGCATATTTAAGTCAACTAGAGAGTCTCCTGGTAGAAGATTAACCTCTGAAAAGTGAGACGATGAACGTGTCGTTGAATATGAATGAAGAAAGTGAACTCTGGCGAACACCACTTGAAGTAATCAGTTCCGATAACAGTTAGCCATAAGCTCGCACTTGACCTTTAGTTTTTGAGTAGGGAGCTTGTATAATGTTAATGTACTTCTCTGGTACACCTTTAAATGACAGACACTGCCACAGAACCTCACGATCCACAGAATCAAACGCCGCATTAAGGTCGCGGAATGCAACTATTGTAGGACTTCTGAACGTGTGTCTTTGTTCTTGGACCTGTCGAAGAGCGAATATTTGGTCTATACATCCACGTGCAGGTCGAGAACCAATCTGGTTTTCTCTAGTCTTCTTTTCACGAGCTTCCATTAAGCGTCGGAGTATTATTGAGGCCAATATTTTCTAATACCGGTTTCCTTGATAAGTCGGTACAACTGTCTACTGCTATCTCTCATTGCTGACTTTTACATCGCTCTTGTTCTCGCTGCCCACCACTGTTCGCGATCACTGCGTAGGCTTTTTATCAGCCTACGTCTAAGCTGACTCCGCTTCTCATCGTACTCAGAGCCAGACGGGATGAGTTTCCGAACATCCATTAGTCCAGTAGGTGCTTCTGAAATCCACCGCTTCTCCCCAACCTTGTGCTTTATCTTACTAGCAGATATCACTGCTGTTTCCAAAGCCTTCTGGATATCATTGCAAGCTGCCGCCTAAATGTTTTTCTACTTGCTCCTGAAATATATTCTTAGCTATGCTATCACTAAGTAGAACCCTAAGAGGTTTCCTTGTGGTGTCTTTCTCACGCCTAGTAAGTCGCAAATAAATACGCGTTCGCACTAGAGTATGATATGGATCTAAACATGTGCCCCAGAACGAGAGATAATCCTCTATCGAACCCCTCCATCGGTGGCTGATGGCGATATGAACTAGTTGAGTCCAGCGTTGGGACGACTTTGGTAGTCGCCAGGTCAAGAGATATTTTTCCCTATGCTTAAAGTTAGTGACTGCTTGAAATAGGAGGTTATCTGAGCATAGTTGCAGCAGACGGTCTCCATTATCCGCAGGGACCGATCGTGTGCCGAACAAATCGCGACACTACGAATCCTTCTGGAACAATCAGTTGAAAACCAGTGTCAGACAAGGTCGTTTACTCTCACCCTTTCTCTTTCTCCTGGTGGTTGGTACGATTATAAATACGTCAGTATCACAGGGGAAACATGGAATACAGTAAATAGCTTGGATGCAACTAGACTATTTGAACATTACAGATGACCTAGATCTCCTATCTCACGCTCAGCAACAAACGCAGGTGAAGACGGCCAGGATGACAGCAGACTCTGCAACAGCAGGCCTCGATATACACAAGAGAAAGAGTAAGATCCTTGAATACAACACGGCAAGCAGCAACCAAGTCGTTCTTGACGGAGAAGCGCTGGGATATATGGAAATATTTATAAATCTGGGCAGCATCATTGATAAACAGGGTAGTTTTAATGCAGATGTAAAGACACAGATCAGCAAGGCAAGGGTAACATCTCTACAAGTGAACAACATCTGAGACTCAAAACAATTACCAGCCAACAACAAAGTCGAAATTCTCGATACGAACATCACAAAAGTTTTATCATACGAAGGTGAAACTTGGAAAACTACTACAACCGTCATCAAAAAGGTACAAATCTGTATAAGCGGTTGTCTATGCAAGATACTCCGGATCCGTTTGTCGGATAACATCAACAACAACTTACTGTGGTAGAGAAAAAACTGGTCTCTAAGCTGAAGAGGGAATCAAGTAAAATACTGAAGGTGGATATGACACACATTGTGGAAAGCACCCAACTGCGTCACAAGGCAGGACAATATTTAACTATCGGCTGAAGTTAACGACAACGCTTTCCATGTACAGTACATCGGTTGAATCTGCTGGTTATGAACATTTAATTGTATGACATTATAAATTTCTATTCATGCAGTAAGTTACTAATTAGTTAATGTTTGATATTATACAGTTTAATGCATACGAACTTGACTGTTAATAAATGTAAATCGTATTACTTGATTTATTTCTGATGTCAAATAAATCCTTATCTATCACCGTATTCATGTTCTTTATCTTATTGTCCGATTCAGTTTTCTTGTTGAAGTACTAAGATTTACGGCCTAACAACTTGCCATACTAACACTTTACGGTAGATAGTTGTAGATATATCCAAAAGTTCAAAATGGAATGTTTAGTGAAAATTACACTCCAATATGCAACGTTCACCCACTAAGTGAATAGAAAGATGACTGAAAATGCTGGATACAGCCATTCTCAATCTGACATTTTTTGTAAAAAAAAAAGTGTGAACGACACTCCATCTATTTTGATTTTACCATATAACCAGTATGATCAGTCCTCAAATTAAAAATATGGAGACTGATAGTTAGCAAAAGGAACGTACACTTAATTACTGAACTAAACAGTTTTGTTTCACAAAAATATAGTCTAATGAAAATAATTATCAAACACATGAATCACTTACATTTTATTTATAGGAGTATTTTCCAATAGAGTAGGGATTGATTCGTGCGGAATAATTGTTTGTTTATTTGGTTTATTTAAACTGCATGCCAACTTAGCTATAGACTTAATCAGAAGTAAAAAAAAAAGGCAACAATAATAAAGGAACCTAGGCCTGAAATCTAATAAACAGATAGAATTGAGGTTGAAAAGAGTTAGACTCACATCCTTTCTCTTTTTATCTCTCACACTTTGAATGTGAATATACAAAGTACACAAAATAAAATATTATACAATGAAGTATTACACTATTAACTTCAGCTATGAATATCATTATTGCATCTTTGCAAGTTCAATAAAGAAATGTGTAAACGTTTATTGTATAAACACTACTAATTTTGCTTATTTTTATATCTTCAATGAAATAATATATGTGTAAAATAGACGGGTAAATTTCAAATTAGGGGTGTAAATTCTAGATTTAGGTGATCGAAAAACAACTCAGACGTTTCAATTTACTTCTCCAAATATAGAACAAGAATATTGTAATCAGTGATGAGTTGCACTATATAGGTTAAAACATAAGTCGCACTCCCACAGTATTATTACACTGAATATTTAATAACAGCCTCTCAGGTTTAAAAAGACCACTCTGTTCGATGAAGACTGAATACCTCGCTAACGGACTCGCTAAATATACTACTATACTGCTTTAAAGACAGCTGTGGTCAAAAACCTTAAGTTTATGCGTGTTATCAACTTTTATAAACCGTGTTTCTCAGCTGGAGAGCATAATACAGAGGATTAATACGTAGTATACATGATAATGTCGCAGTTGGAGTTTCTGAATTCGTACTGTGTTGCGGCAGACTAGTCCAGAAGCAGAATTTTATTTTCAGAGGGAAAGAAACGTATTCTTAAACAATGAGATTGTAATAAATGACACTTCTCAGAGCAAAAAATAATAATCGGGCGTGAAAATTAAACATCAGATTATTATTATTATTGCTTATTATTTACATCAAAAGAAGCAGAGCACACAAACAGCTTACTTTGTTTGGACCGATCCCAGCAGAACATCTAAATCCTGTCTTTACAAAAACAGCCTGTCTAATACGGTACACCAATTCAGAAGCTATTGCTAATCGCCTCCCATCTACAAAGTTAGAATCTAATAATTCGATCCAGTCAAAGCCACTGAGTTGAACACAATTGGTTCCCGTAAGTTCTAACTTTAACTCCTTTGCAATATCCCCATTAACTAACACATATGACTCTAGATTGGACTGCAATGATGACAAATTGTGATCTTGAACCAAAGTTGAATCTACAATGTCTATCAGAAGGTTTGTAAACGTAAAAATACTAGCTAACCAGTTAAATCAACATAGGCCTCATCAATACTAGCCCTTTCAATATCGCTGGTAAATTCAGATATACACTGAATGACTTCAGAACTTGCAACACGATATCTGTAAAAAGCAACCAACTCCAAAATCGAAAACAAGTTACTTGCTTTGTAAGTTCTGCTTTACCTCGTTTTTCAGGAACCTTGAAAATTGTTACTTCTGGATGTTGAGCTCGAATTTCATCACTGAACATTCCTCGCTTGATACCTAGAGCCCTGGCTTCGTAACTTATAGCTAAAGCCCTAAAGATATGAAAATCACCAAATTATAAACTAACCCTCCACCTTTCCACTCACTATACTGTGAAACGACACATGGCTTCCCCTTAGTTTCAGGAAAATCACGTTGTTCAACTTGAACGTAGAAACAGTCCATATCAAGTAGCATTACAATTCTGTCCATTACTAGATTTCACGAGTCCTTTCTAAAATGAATTGTATTAATAAACAAGCAGAAAATAATATAAAAATAAATGTACTGGATGAATTAACATTATTAAGAATAACTTCTTATTACAGATTCCAGATAAAAGCTTGTAATAATTAAAACGCAGTCATCCTGGTTAAGCCACATTTACCATCTGTAATTTCACTAAACATATGAAAAAATTTACAGTAGCAATTACTGCTCATAAAATTCAATTATACAAGCACTATAACATTTGCTTTCATCGTAGACGATTTATCTGAATTACTAGTCACACCCACTGTAACAATTAACGATACTATTCGGAATTTGTAGTCAAAATAAACACGGAGTGTTTTGAGACATAAACAAGTGTTAATGTCAAGTATTTACATCACCGAATGACCGACTAATCATCATTTGAACTAATCCTTTATTCAAGACAGTTCTAATGTTCGACTAAACCTTGGTCTTTGTTGAAATTTTATTTCATTTTCTGTCTCCAGGTTCGATGAAGCATTAGTAAGATCTTAATAGCCATACATATACTTACGATTTACATCCGAATAGTAGGGTCAACTAGATTCAAACAATAATGTTCTATGACATTACAAGTGACTTCTCACTGACTGGAGACCAATAACGCGTCTGCCTAGTTCGTTATTGCAGGTCGAATTTTATGGGTAAAATGCAATTTTTTCTTCTAATGAAATATATAAAAACCTGATAAAGACTGATAAAACGTCAGGGACCTAGACTTGGATTGAGTTGGTCTCCATCGAATGATATAACTGCACTCTCAAGGAAATTGATATTCTCGGTGAGATAACCGTGGCTCATAGGAAGGGTCAAATTTTTCATTCCACAAAAAGATAATCGTCACTATGAGTAGAGGACATTCGTAGGTCACTATTATTCAGTCACAAGTGTCTTCGAAGCATTGCTCGAATATCCTCGGACCATCGAGTAATGCTAGTGTTATGAAAAGGTTAAGGATGGTAAATCAGTAGATGATGTAGTGGATGATCATCAATCGAGGTGGTTGGGACATGTGCTACGAATGCCCGAACACTGACTTCCTCAGTGAGTGATGATGCCTAGTGTAGGGATAGGCTGGGAGAGAGCGAAAGTTTATAAAACCACACTATGCGATAGCCAAATAATCTACTTTCCACCTAAATTTACACCACTATGTTTAAGGTTCAACTAAATTGACCCAAACTTGAGGTGAAGTCTGAATTTACTAGAATATTCCACTTGCTATCCTAGTAGACTGGAGGTGCGTCTTTACTCCTCTAATAAAATATGAATCATCTGGAATGACGGTTCAAAAAGAATAATCTATTTCAACCTTACAGTACTCGTAGACGATGACTGCTTAAGATTAATACATTTCTCCCCTAAGATTTCGAAGCTCAATGATAAAATCCACATGGACACGGAACCAGGCTTTTTAAAAATTTTGAGGACTCCCAAAAATATTAACGCTTTGAATGTCGTCCGTACCAACAGTAGGTAGTTAAATATATAGTGGAAAAATTACTAGTTTGAAGATTTGAGTTCCTTTAATGACGCGTACTGTTGCAGAAAAATTAAAAGTATGACTTCAATGAAAATAGACTCACTTAATAACAACGGATAAGTACATATGAATTAAGAAAACAGTCATTTGTTAGTTTAAAATCATACTAGATCTCGAACATATATCATTTGATTTTCATAGTATTTTCGTGGCAACCAGATAAATGTTGTCCCTTGTCAGCATATGGTCAGACTATTGCTCAGTGAATATTTTAGGAAGACTATTATGACAAAAATTGTTCACTCAAAACGACTCATTAGTTGGATTTTGTAAAAGCTGACAAGGACAAAAGTTGAATAAACCGGGATTTCAATACGCAATATCTGATTGGCTTCTCTGCCTTGTCCCTTTGTTAAGATTATGGTCCTCATTAGTGTTAATATCTATGACTAGTTTTAGTTTTTTTAGGTAGTTGTATGCGGTAGCAGCTGTCTACGTCTAGCCGGAATTTACATTGTGTACAAAAAGGGTATGCAGAAAAGCGTGAATAGGGAGAACTATAAAAGAAGAGAACAGAAGAACAAGTGAAGCATCAACATAGAAAGTGAACGAAATGCGCTAACATGTTTTAGTGGTAGTAATAGATTACAATCAGCAATGACAAAAGCCCTAAAATAAGCGGATCTGGAACCGAAACTAGGGGTGGATTTTAGGCTGCTACCGTGAGTTTCTGCGTCTGATAATCTGGATTAGTGCGTTTACTTTAGAGAAAAAATGTTTCTGGATCTAGAAGATACTATATAATCGGACGAAAGGTGTTTGTTGATGACTGAGAAACACAAGTATACAAATTTCGCATACCGAAGAGTAAAATCAGGCGATTGTTTAAGTTGGCAACCAAATTAACTACGCAAATAATAAAAATAGACTGAAGCGCAAGAATAAACAGTGACTTATATGGTATATGTGGTATTCATCAGGTACGACCAACCCATTTTAGGAGCGGTAACTGAAGGATCGATTCAATCAAGATGAACTATGGACAACTTCAATCCCTTGGTCTCTGAAAAGACCAACTCAGTTGCCTGTTGCGCACCCCATATGTTTTATAAGCTTGTCACAAGTGTTGAAGCATAGGCTGATAGCCAGTGATTTCCAGCCAACTGTGTCTTTGAAGATTCCAAGGTGTGACTTGCTATATTGTGCAGTCGACTTTTCTCCAGAAAGTCGAATAATGTCAACACATCCAGACTTTCACAACGCTCTCATTCTTAAACATCAGAACTGGTCAAATCAGATGTCATGTCTAGAAGTGTGTGTTCTATCTACCTCCAGAGTATTTTCCTTATTTCCTTCTAATATAGTACTTGATCTGGCAAACCAGGCGTTTATAAATACCAGCACATTTTTCGTGATAGTTGTGACTTTCAGATTCATAGACCAGCACAAATGGGTTATTCAACAGTAGGCTTTAGGTGAAATAACTTTTGTATATATTATATATTTTAATGTCCAGTCCTTTATTAAGATTTCTCTGTTTACTGTCGTTACCGAGTGCCCATGATAGTCTACTCTCCAGGAAAGAGACTCATGGAAGGGTGCAGCTTGGAAATAATTTTACGTGAGTTATATGCTTATTTCATTCTCGTTAACTTTGGTCGACTGATATTATCAGCTGAATGACAAGTAAACTCATCAGATACATTATAGTTTAACATCTAAAATATTTTGGAAATTAGAAATCAGCTTTCATTATAGAATGGTAATAGCTTTCGTAGTCTATTTCTATATAATTCCAGTCTTTCCTTCAATAAAACAATCTATAAAGAAGATAGGACCTCTTCTAGTAGTCTCCATTACTCGGAACCTTTGTGTTCCTTACTCCTAAGGCCTGTAGTGGTATACTTTTAGGAAGAAAACACAATTTCTGAAAAATAAACATTTATTATTGTACTTAATTCTGACAAAAATTGTTATATGGTACACCTCTTGGTTATCTGTACTAAAGACTATCTCTCGCAAACCAAGCGTGTTATTCCGATTCTCCTCTTCGCACCTCTCCTGCTTGGTGTACGCCCTCTGACCTCGATATTATTTCGATATCACGAGGCTAGCACTAAATATACTTCTACCTATAGAATCGCCTTTTTATTTAATTCTTAGAGTAACGGGATTAACATTTGTTATCCTGCGAAGTAGTATATTATACGATTCGCTAAAGACCCAATCTTAGCCTTTGACCCCACTTGTGAGAACAACACCCCCATTAACAAAAAGGTAAAGAAATATATTAGCATTTGTCCACGCGAAATACCCAAGACCGATTGATCAAACACCATCAGCAATAACCTAATAGTAGTGGACACAATAGCTTCCGAATGGGGAAGACGCAATAGGTATGGGACTGCATCGCAAAGAAAGACACAAAGTAAGAGGAAAAAGGACAGGCTAAAAAACATGTTGCACTGGGAATAGGAGGCAGATATCAAGAAATAGACAGCCTTTTTGAGACAGCCGGAAAGGAGAGCTCCAGACAGATTTTGTTGGATTTCTTTGGTCGGCGACGGAATTCCTAAGTGAGGCGGGTAACAAATGCATGTTAGTAGCCAAAATGGTTGAATAACTTGGGATTAAAAATTTATCCAAACGTGAGAGTATATGTGAATGACAAATTTTGGACCTTTTGTATCAACGATTAGTTCTAGATCCCAAAAAGGTACTTAACATCAGACCATCTCCATATCGTAAATCAGTGTGTTTGCTTATAGTTCCCAGATCATTTGCGTTAACTATAGACATATTTAAACGTCTGAATAACAACTGTATTACGAGCGTGCTTTCTAAGATCATAAAACTCTGTACACACACGCTAATACTTGTAATAACAGCCATTCTATTACCCTAAGTGCCTGTAGAAGCGGTTCCTATGAAATGCGATTAAGCCCCAGAAGCCGAAATATCACCCAATCACAGCCCAATAGAATTTCCAGAATATCGGCGTGGCATACAGTGACTGAATAATAGTTTGACGTGACTGTTTGATGACTGGAGGATTGGGATGATGTAGTCTTACCGTATACTTCGACACTTATTCGAGTAAATACTTTTTCATATGCGACTTTAAGGGCCCCATACTTTTAGTTGCAAACCACATTAGTCGCAATCAAGAAGACGACTTAACAGTACCTACCTAGCTTTATTTTGATTTTAGCCTTCGAATCCTAAAGACTAAGTGTAACCAAACACAATTTATGAGCTATTCAGCAATTATAAGGGCAACCTCACTTCTTTTTACATCCAGAGCCTGTGATGTATATATTGATGGGGTAGCTACTATGATCACTTGATTTTCTGCTAGTTTTACGTACTTGTGTCAATCTATTCCGTTTAATCAATACTCAAAACAACTTCCGATTTATGCTTCGGTCAAAATAGTCGTATGTAGCTTGCTCAATATTCGTTGTAGCAACTTAGATTCCTAAATGTTATAAAAATGTCAGTGATTAAGACGTCCCAACCTACGTTTTTGTGTAATGCAACACTGTAATTCATTGTTAGAATGACTAAGGAACTTTCAGTTCATCAGAAGTCTATAGAGATAATTGCAGAAGATAGCATCATTATAAAGGTTTGGTAATTGTCTATGTTAGTGTTATCTCTTTGTAGAGTAACCTAAGTACTCTTTTGGTTATATTTTGCGTCCTTTGAGAGGTTAGCTACCGGTTACCAGGGATTACAACCACTACTGCCTTTTTCAATAAACTGGAAATGTGTTTATTTACAAGGATGAAATAGCCTTGAAAGAACGAACTACTTCCAGAATTTCAAATCTTGCATAAACTCTTGAAGAAGAAGTTCCATTTTCAGTAGCTTTCTGGCCTAACGAAGCATAAAGTTCCTGTCATCTAATGGTACCCATCAAATTTTACGAATATGATAAACCTGAAAAACTTCGTGTAAAATTAAAGTGTATTCATTTCAAAAGATGTATATAACTGTACATTATTAATATTTACAATCAATTTTAAGAAAATTTATAAAGAAAAAAGATAGAAAATATTATAGATACACCCGGTTAGATTTAAAATATGAGAAAACGTGGTCAACAAAAGCGAGGACACCAGTGAGAACAATATAACAAAAAAACCATGAACAAAACATTAATGTCGACAAAAATGCACCAATCTGATGAAAACAAAGCAGATTAGAAAATAACATAGGAAGACCAGTTATTGCACTAGTCCAAGCTGATCCACTAATCGCTGGACCTAAAGAATTCAGTACAGAAAGTAAATTATTACGAGAACAAAACGATTGTTGACATCGCCAACTACCTGCATTGCATTTATCAGATACAGCATAAGCTAAGTGTATGCATGGATCAATGGCAATACCAGCAGCTAAACTAATTACTAAACCTTCAATTATACCTAATTTCCAATTATCTATACAAGTTAATATGGTGATAGATGATAACAGGCAACAAGTTAAGCATAAAAGTGATAATACAGAAAGTAATATGTTCTTACCAATTAAAAATATTAGCAGACTAGCAATAATTACAGCAATCATTATGCTATGATATACATATTGTGTAATATTTGAAGTGATTTCAAATTTTTCCAATTCATTTACAACTAGAAAACCATGATTTAGTAAATTAGGTGCATTTGATATTAAATTATTAAACCATATGGTTATTTTATTCATAGCCTTTTCTATATCATAATGTGAAGATGAAATTAAAGAGATGTTAGTTAACGCATTGACAATAAACCCTACAGGTTCATTCATTCCAGATTTATGCATAAATCGAAATCCAGAAATATATCCATGTTGGTTTTCACGTGATACATATTCATTTAAACAAGATAGAAACGATATAACAGAAGAATTATAAATTTGTAAAGGTTTTCCATTCAAACAACAAGTACTTGTATCCAATAAACAATTCAATGAGAATATATAATTATCAATCGAATTTATATAACGACCAAATGGACACCAAACAGGTATATTTATGAAAGGATTTAAATTGGACAATTGTAATGAGCTTAGCGTGTGTTGACGATAATTTGTGGATAAAGATTGGAATAAAAATGGCATACGTTTTAATTCATTACAAAATTTCAATAGCCATAAACGTGAATTAATTGAAGTGAAATTGATCGTAGGAGATGAATAAAGCAATAGTTTTGAATGAATATGTATATCATGATTATAATTGAATAACGATCGTTCATCATGTGGTTGAGGACCCCAAACGAAATTAATTTTCAGTAAATTCTGATAATAATGTAAATTATATTCAGCCCAAAATGAATTAACATTTTTACGACTAAATTGTTCTAATGGATGATATAAGCGTAGAAATGTAGAACTATGCTGATGATTTTGTGGTATAACAAATTTACGTAACCATAATAATTGATAACTTGTAAATATTAATGTAATAATAATAATGAATGGAAAAATAAAATGTAATCTAATTATTAATTTATTAAAGAATAAAATCAAATGATAAACTACTTTAGAAAAAGATTGATAATATTTATAAAATGATAAAACAATAAAATGTTTACAAATTGATTGACAATTTAATTCAAATAGAATTATCATTGGTATAATCATAATTAATATGAATATGTAATTGCAAAAAATAACAAGACTAGCAAATATAGTAAAACGTTTTACAGCAACAATGGAAGATAATAAATTAATCAATAAACCACATATAGTTGAAATGGTAGTTAATGTCATTGATGGAATAGCATGTAACATGGTGTAATGTAAACATTCAACAAATTGTTGATCATTGATAAGTTGATAATTTTGTAAATGAATTGAAATTGAATCCATAGTAAAACAATTATTTGATATAATATTAGTTCTATTATTTAATGAAGATGAGAGGCTTAATTCATTATTCTGATTTGATGATATGAGTTCTTGTGTTTCGAAATTGGGAATCACATTTAATTTATTGTCATGATTAACATTTCCAGTGGAAATTGTTTGAAGCAATAGAAGGCGCTTCTGTTTCCAAATCTTTACACAAAGAACATATAAATTGAACATTTGATTACTTTTCAAAAAATATTAGGCAACACAACTCACCATTCAGTGGTACTTTGTTTAGTCAGTTTAATAAAAGTGAACAATATATGGATTACTTGTAAATGAATAATATACAATGATTATTGAAGTATTTTTCATATATGAAAATAGATAAAGTGCAATAAATCAACAAACCAACTTATGTACCGTATAATTTTATCAAATTAATGAAGTTTAGTAGGATTATATATATAAATTTAAAGTAGTATATCAGGAAAGTTATAAATGCAATCAAAAAAATGAAATGAAACTAATAAATATTCGTTAAAATTAACTAAAATAGTTCAAATACAAAATAAAAGGAATATTTATTGATAGAATAGACAAAAATGTTACTAATGAAACATAACTTCACAAAACAACTATTATCCAGAAGAAATCCTTTTCAGTGAGTTAATTTTTTAAGAAATGAAAACCGTATGTATATATGTAGAGAATTAGGTTCATAGACAGATTACATACTTAATTTCCAAGTACCATCGAAAACCATGAATTATTGAATAACTGTTTTACCCTATTCTTGAACACTTGATCAATGTTCGCCCTATGATTGTAATGGTTAAGGTTTCATTAACAGACGTTAAGCTCCTACGTTCAACTCCTTTCGGAATTGTAAGAGAACTCTCATGAGAATTTTCGTACTAAAACGAAATAGATGTTCAGTGCCCTCTGGTTTTTATTGGTACTCTCAGATGAGACTAATCTTTGACGAATACAACCTTAACTAGTGCCATGCATTTACGCACTTTATTTAACGATGTGAAAAAATGTTAAAGTTACTTCAATAATTACAATAACTCTGTTGAGAAAAATAATTCAACTATTTTCTGAATAAAACAGAGTTATGAACGACTACAAAAAATAACTATCTTTTCTATCAAGCCATAGTTAAGTACGAACTTAAACATTAAGATGCATCACACTGTACACTTATGTGGATAATGATAACAGATAGAAAGTGTACGAATTGACAAATAAACGATACAACCTACTAGTTGAACAAACTTTCTATTCTGTAAAAAAACCATGGAATTCAACATACTGTTTAAACTACATAAGAAAGCAAAAAGCCGTTTCTGTCCGGTTGAATGACCAAAATCATGCTAACTCCTCTCGAAGCAAGCAAACAAATGCTTAATGTCATTTAGAAAAAATAAGTACCTTGTCTAAGATGTGCATCAATCAAGCATCTTAGTTTCGAAACTAATATATAAAAGTTAATTTTTTTTCTAAAGAAAATTATAAAGTGCTGCATATACGTAAGGCCTCAAAACTAAGATGACACAACTATCCAATTTTCAATGATTCCATAGTTTATGTCATCCACTGATGAGAAATGTCAACAAATTTCTTACGTTTTATTAATTAAAAGTTGAAAAATAACCCAACTGTCTAGTCAGTTAATAAATCTACATGATAGAAAAATCACTTACCTGATAAAATACTAATAGATCGTCTGCACCAAGTCCAGTTACCAAAACAATAGCCAATAAGTTGATAACTGGAAAATGTGGAATGCCTAATACTATTGTATATACAGTATAGGCAATTAATAGAGACCATACAATGGCGAGTACAGTTAGAATTGGTATGAAGATAGTTCGAGTCCATATTGTTAATAAGATGATTAAACATAGTAAACTAATAAACAGCCAAAAAGTATCACGATAAAGTAACTGAGTAACAATTTCATCATATTCTTGTATATATATCCCCTAGAAAATTTTAACGAATTAAAAATTGGCAAACAATTAAATACATACACGTTGAAGTGTTTTGAATTCAATTACATAACTTTAATTGATAAACAGAAAAAATAATGAAAAACAATAAGGTAAACGTATTCACTGGCATAAGATAATCACTATAAAATTTGGAAAATTAATCTATATTTATATCATATATGTAGAATTGGTATTTTCGAAGACATATAAAAAGTTATTTTTATTTCAACGTTCATACATGTCACACTCAAGTATTTCAGCATTGTAAATATATAGGTAAATAGTATCAGAATTCATGACATAATCATTTATACTAATTGTAAAAAAAACTTCGGATGATATTGTAGGAGATACTATGATGACTATTTTTTTTGTTGACGATTAATTTTTCTTTAGTTCGATTATAATGTTAAAAATTGCAAAAAAAAACTATGAGCTTACAATTAATTATAATCGCTTATCTCTCAACAAAGAGAATGAATGCATTGCAAAGGTGAAAGGCATACAAACTGAATAAATATTTTTTTATGGATTTAACAAGTTTGGGTGTTTTATGAACAACAAAATTATGAAAAATTTTAATGTTGTATAACAGTTTAATAGCTCAGCAATAAATCAATTATCTTACATAATTCTGACTGATTTGAACTGATATAATACGACTCATGACTAAGTACTCAAACTGAGAATTTTTATAAAGCTACATAAAAACCAAACAACTTTATAACTGAAGTTTCAATAGTTGAACCATATAGACATAGTAGTAGCAGTAGTAGTAGTAGTTGTTGTTGTTATTGTAGTAAACTAACAATTAAAATCTGAAGACTTATGGTTTAAATCCACTCTCAACACGAATTAACTTTTTTGTTCTAATTACTGTTTGTACTGTTTGTGGGTGTTTTTTTCAATTATCAAACTTTTGTCTATTATTAACAGAATAAACCTAACAGAAATTTAAAACCATATATAATTCTCTAGATGTTAAAACCTAACATAAGTAAACTAATCAGCTCGTAAATATATATAACCAGAACTCTTGAAAACATTTTGAAAATTCAAACGCTTTGTAAGCTAAGTTACATTAACATATTAGTTCATGGAAGATGAATGGTCTCCCGAAAAATTATGTACGGAAAAATATTTGTAAAGCTGACAAATAGTTAGTGTATATGCGCTGTTAAGCTTCATATCGAGTGACAAATAAGCATTATGCTCTCAGAAAGATATCTTTGAATACAGCATTTAATGTTAAAATTACATAAACATAATTCTGTGGGTAGGTTTCTTTGTCATAATTTTTTTGTGATAAACAAACAGATATATTAATCATACATTAAGAATCACAGATTTAAACTAATTCACTATATTAAGTGAAAATAAATAGTAACAGGAATAGTTAGAATTGACTTAAAACATAGCCTGAAAATCATTACTCGCTATGATAGTCACGTGTTTTTTGCACTATAAAAAAAACTTACATCAAAATGAAATGGAATATGTAATCCTTTTGTAAGTCTACCTGATTTATATTCATTTTCAATGTCATTAAAAAATAAATGTGAACCAGTAGCGTGTATAGGCAAAACCATTAAGCTTGTTTCCCAGCTACTAAAATTATTACTGTTATTTGGTAACAGAACAGCCAGAATTATTGGCAATAAAGGTGAATATAAACATTGTGATGGGTGTACCATAGGACATAGTAAACCAGGATCTGTACCATAATTATCCCAACATGAACGACGTAGATGACCAGAAAGAAAAGCTGGATAACAATTAGAAATTAACTCAGCAGTTTGCTTGGCATCAATATATTCCAGCTAATTATTGAGTGAAATAAAAGATAAATTGGAAATTGATGTAGGTAAATGAAGCTAAAATTCAGCAGTATACATTAGTTTTTTTTTAACCTAAAAAATCAAACTAGATGATGAAAAATCAAATAATTTGCATGAGAAAACTAAACAAAGTTTAACTTGGCACATTCATTCCAGTTACCACATTACAAATGACAATAAAAATTAATAATATGGACTAGAAGGAGGATTAAGTAAAGATAATTTTCTCTTTGACAAGATCGTTTACTTAAGCTGTATATTCATATTTATAGTTGTTTGATGAATATATGGGTCTATAGAAGAACACAGAATGATTGCATCACGAAGTAATATGAGATTGAAAAATGAAAAGAAAGTTGTGTAATTATCAAAAGATTAGAGAAGAATGGGATGACAATAATTTGACGATTAGAAATATGGTATGATCGTTCACACAATAGATACGAAGAAGAAATTAAACAATGAAAAGGCCATAAAGAAACTGAATAATCATCACGAAAAATTGTCAGAAAATAACAGTAATTGATTACGATTTAAAAAAGTACAAAACAATAATCATGAAAACAAAAACAAGACCAAATTAAATAAGAGCTTCGGCAAATGAATTTATCAAAAAGGAAACTTTCCTTGCTGAATTCTCTTTATTTTTGTCCAATATGTTACTTTCATTGTTGAAAGTTATAGTGAGATAAACTAATCGAATAGACCTCAAAGGTTAGGTAATATGTTTCCGTATATGTTTCATCAGTATAATCTTTGGATCATGTTATTTACAGTTGTCAGTAAACAGTATCTCAAAATTCCTAAATGAAAAGCCTATATGACTAAAGGTAGCAAATAAATACTTCATTTACAAATGAAATAAGATTAAAACTTTTATACACTACTTTAGTTCTGGTAAGCATATCAAAGCTTATGTCTGGTAATGGGGTTTCACTGTTTAAAAAATTGGCAATTAATGTGGATGATATATTCTTCAGATTAGCTTCCTACTTCGGCTCTATGATGAGCAGTAGATAAACCATGAGTTTTTTTAGTTTAATTAGTGCAAGCTTGAAAAAATATCGTACAAGCATATTGAATTTCTTTACTGTTACGGGATCCGCGTTTACGTTAAAATGACGAAACAAACTTACTACATCGCAAAATAAAGTGAAAACAGTTCAGCGAAGAGAATTAATAAACGAAATGACTATAAATTTAGCATACAACATCGTCCAAAAGAAAATTTCCAGAGCCAAATTGTTTTGATTTTGACTTCTTAGTCAGTAAACGCACCACAGTTAATTGTTGAGAAACAAGTAGTGGGATCAGTTTTTACTCAGCTTTAATTATCGAATAATCATGAACACTTTTAAATGATTATAATATACACAATGACCTTTCAAATAACAAAATGGCCTACACCTGTAATTCGTAGAAGCTAACATTAATTTCCTGGTAAAAGACGGGTTAATTAATGAGTGAAAGTACTTTTTGTAAGTGAAGTATTAAGTAATCATAACCAGACAATCAAAAGAGAGAACTTTAGAAAGACTTTAACAGAATTATTGACGATAAACTATACAACCATTGATGTTAGTAGATCAACCCATTACGCTATAACTAATTTTATGTGTTATAAAAATAGTATTTGATTGAAAATAACTTCAAGTATAGAAAATCCTATTAAACCCCGTTGGTCGGGTTTGCCTATCGTGATGACCCAATCGAGCCATACTGAATGGAACATATGTTCCTGAAGGTTCTACCATGTCGAGCGGGTCGATTGCAGAACGATGAGACTAAAAGCAGCTACTCAAGGTCTGAGGGCGAAGTCGTACTGCTAACTGCAGAGGGGTGTGACAGCAGTAAGGTGTTTCCCTCGGACAACCAGCATCTGCAGCGATGCTGCCTTCTCACAAGGAAGGAAGGGTTAGAAAAGGTCGGCCCTAAAAATGTCACACCTCCCCTACCTCAAGGATTTCCGTCTCCTTGGGTAAGGGTGCCCACTAAGGGCCTTTAAGAACGGAGCTAATCCTCTAAATACCTCTCATAAAGAGGCCGTGCGTGACCGGCCTCAAGCAGTTGTCCCTTGGGCTCTGCAGTCACGCTCCCAAGTCTCTAAGACCGACACTAACCCACCTTCCTTTTCAGGTTCCTCAAGAAACATCCTTCCACGGTGTGAGCTGCCGGGAAGTGACAATCGCCCTCATACCCGCAACAGCACACAAGATCAAGTTGGTCACAATCAAATCAAATCCGATTTAATATACTCATCTAATCACAACTATTCTACTGCGTTCACTTTAGGCACACAATTTTAGTCAGAATGCTTCTTATTTGTATAGTTACTATTTTCTATTTATGACGTTTACTTTTAGATTAAAAGAGAATTTGTTTATTAATAGGAGTGATAATATTGTATTTTTTTCCAAAAAAGCTTGCAGATAAAGTTTCCTATTGAAGGGAACTTCTACATCAAAAACCTGACTTTTAAACAATGCGATGTCAGTTCAAATTTTACTCATAAGAAAGTAACTATTAAAATGTATAAAAGATTTTAGTATTATGATGATGTGGATAAGAGAAAAAAATTATTTGAACCCTGTGAAAATCTTACTTGTTCACAAGATTGCTTATTGAAAATTGATGCAATCATGTTTGGCAGACTCCAAATGGAACAACAGTTATTATTCTCAATCTTGTTATCTACAGTAAATAAATGCGTATTATTGTATCGTTTAGATGTTTTCGTATAACATAACTCTTCATATGTAGATAACTGAATAATTCTTAACTGTAATTTACACAGATCAGATAAAATAATATACAATAATGATGGTTCACCAAAATATGTCAAATTCTCCTTTGAATTAATTAAATTTTGAATGAACAAAGATTTGTTAGGCATATCGATAATTTGATTATAGTCTATAGAAAAAACTATTCGACTGTATTTTGCATATACGTCCCATAAACTGTTGACTGGTTTGGTTATTTCACTAGCTATAAAGAATAAGACCAAATAAAGTTGTACAATGAGCTTTCAAATCAAAAAAATTGAGATTGACAGTTGGCTCACTAACTAATAAAGTAGAATGACCTGGTATACTACAAAACTTAAATCCCTCAAGTAAAGTAAATTTAACTGGTTGATTAAAACGAAAGACTACATTAAGGTTCACAGAACATATGATGTAAGACTTCTCTCCTGTGAGGATAAATAATATGTTAAGCCTGATAGAAAACCAAAGCATAAATTGGTATGACTGATATTTTCAAACTTTTGAAAATAATATTGGAAGCAATGTGCTCTGAATCGAAACTCCAATTAATTAGAATCAAGCTGAACATCACTGGTTACAATGGAATGTAGAATAATCATTTTAAGAGTCAGATGGGTGATAAAAAACACTAGTATTCAAAAATATCTGTAGCATACATCTGGATCACTAGGCTTCTGGATAAATGGTTAACTTCAACCTGACGCATTGATAAAAGACGGTCAGTTAATTTCAAAACATCATATGATCAGTAAAAAGTTTTTGATCATCTGAAAGTATTAATTAAAGAATCGATTATTCAACATTTATTTCAGTTTAATTTAAAAGCTATTGGTATTGTACGAGAGTAACTCCTTCATAAACTTAAACCAAGACATATAAGGATGACCATACAGTGTTGAGTAGAGAAGCAATAGCTAGATGATTTAACTATTCACGTTACAACTAACAGGTTAACAGTTCAAGCTCCACTCAGCAGAAAGCCAGATAGTAATCATTATCTTTCATACCTGCATTACACTTCATACCAGAATCTATAAATACATACTTTGCTGACAAGTTACGCCAGTGTCAAGTCCCTTAATAGGAATTCAATGGTAAAATCTTTTTAAATTCGGCCAATTTTCAGTATAATTTATTCATGCTTGGAGTAATTAACTTCCCAAAAACTTAAACTCAAACATTACCGGTTTCTTGAAGACAATATTTTCTTTCAAAATAGTCGACATTAACGTTACGTCGAAACCGATCAACAACCGTTTTATGAAAATTATTAGCTCGATTTTCAACATTAGTAAATATTGACCCATATTCTTTGTTCCATTTTAGATCATTTTGAGCAAAATATTCAGGACTACTTGATGTTTCAGTTAGCAATGCCTGAAACTGCTGAATGCGAGCTGATAAACTGGTTCCAATCGACACAAAATCCTAAGTACACATGTAATGGAAGAAAAAATGTTCTATTATAGACGTAAATATATCATTTTCATAGGACGAAACTAACGAAGGCACAATTACTACTAATAAGTAGCCCATGTTGAAAATGTTTTGATCCTAGAACTGAACAAGGCCCTAGCATCTGATATGCCTATTATCATTGTAATATATTAGAATATTCCTGAACTAAATAAACCATGCCACTCGTGATTTAAACAGTAAAAATCTACGCTTTTAATCATGGTTCAACCCGATTGTGTTCCCTGAAGATAATTTCCGAATGCTCAAAATTAGTTAACGTGAGGTATAAACTCTGGCCTTATGATTCGAAGATGATTGACTAAGTAAGTATGCTACTGCAGTAATATATCTTAAGAACACAATTTGAGCAAACGAAGCTTAGTGAAAATTGTTGATGATCTGCTTTGCGTAATTAATAGGTCATACTGCACCAATTCACAACCACCATATGAAGTGGCAGATTCTCTGATAAAAACTTTGAAAAATATTCAGTAATCCACAGTTCTTCCTGGAGAAATGTTACTTCACAGTGATTGTACACCTTGTGATTACCAAAAAGATGTAAGGTAACTTAAAATTAAGGGTAAGATGAACTTACAACGAAAGGATTGCTCAGGTCAGGTACATGGAAAAAGGCAATACAAATGATAGAAGTCGACAAAATGAAGAAAATGGATGAAGTAGCTGCTAAATATTTCCAGCGAACTAGGTGACGTGATAAACTGGAAAGAAAAAGTTACAATGTGTAATAAAGAACACATATAGGAAATAATTAAAATGATTTGAGCGTTCGCAAATTACATATGCCACTGAATGGTAACAAAAGATAGCTCAAAATCTATTGCATGTTTAAAAAGCAAATTGAGACGAAACAAACTAACATAATGTCTAAGAAAAAGTTACTTAAAGTATGGCTAAGCGTTCTACAGAGAGAAATTTAATCTGCATAAACAGCACATCCAAAGTAGGTCAATCAAGAGTCGAATAACCTTTTTATTTAAAAAAGCAGTGTGAGCTAGGAATTGTAAGATTCGAAGTCACTTCCAATCACCAGATGAATAAAAATTTTACATCTTGGGTTTGTTGGTAGTAATTTAAGCCAATAGTAATTAAGTTTGTGAGTTGCAGAATATTTCTACTCTGAATAAGCCATGTCCTCAATACCCATTTAATTTAGAACGAAACTGGATAATTCAGAGACATACAGTTTATAACAGGGTGAAATGTAATAAATAATAATTGATTTCGATAGGGATTAGTTATTTTTTCAAGATTTTCTGACCGACACCCTAAAGGTTATGAGATCATCATGCATAGCTTGAAAGGAAAATCACTAAGGGTTACACTGAGATATATTGCATTCCTTTCACTCTAAAAAGACATAAACTGTCTTGGTTGAGACAAAATAAAAGAACTCGATACTGTCAATAAGATTTTGATTTGTTAGTTTAGTGACTTTACTTATGATAAATATCAGTAAACAGACCATAGCGTACATCGTCGTCAGACTACACAAGTAAAGACTACCTGACGTACATGGCCGTAAAGACAAGTGAGGCATGGCAATATGAAATCTGGGGAGAAGAAACACTAGCCCGTGATGTCTATTGGTTGCCCTAAAAAGTGTGTAGAAAGATATACCATGTTAAGTACATTAGTACGTGTAATGTTGTATAAACCTGTAGGACTTGTTAACATATCTATCTGGCCATTGTTCAAATGTGGTGCAAAGAAAACAAAAACGATTTTCGGTAAACGAAAACTTCCTATAAGCTCAAACACAATGAAGTTATAAAAACCCAACCGACTGAACATTATTTGAGGAAGTTCAACCATAAACTGAAATTTTAGGCATGTCTTACCAATGAAGAGTAAGTAATTTCAAAGAACAGCTACAAGATTCCTTCGTTTGACACATTCGTCTAATCTTGTAAAAATTTTGAAAATACACTTCACATTCTCAGTCGTTAAAACAAATATCGAATATTGTTAAAATCCAACCTAATATCCAATATCTTCATGAGAAAGTATAAACCAATTGACATGTTCTCTCTCGCTTTTTGCTGTTTCGTAACGCATTCAAAATCTTTCTCTAACAACTCCTAGTCCTGATTGTCACATTTTCTTAAACTCGTGTTTGTGTTATTTGTGACTGAAGTAGACTGCCATCTCCATTAAATGTAAACGCATTCTATGTGCTTATTAAGTCACTAGGTTATCTTTTCCTCTGTTCTTTTCTACTACGGATGACTCGGCCTTCTGCTCCTCACACGCTACCAGCAAACAAACAAACGCAAACTTATAGAAGGATAAAGGATCCATGTACTTGGTAACGTTCAATGGACAGTGGTCTAGCCACTCAATTGAACTAATTCTAGTCAGTTGACAGCTGTTTCTGAATTTGTATGATCAGTATGTTGAGTAAGTACATTTGTTTCAGAGCATTAGGGTTTCTGGATACCAACAACCATTAAGTTACTGGACCGGAGATGGTTTAGTTGCGACATCGGGAACAATAAAGAGAAAATTCTAGTGCTGATAAGAAGAACATTTCAGAACCAAGTAAATCGATAAGTTAGGCACTTGGCAGTGAAGATTGAGTGAGAGGACAGAGGTGTGAGCAAAGAAGGGGAAACAGAGGTAATGAATAAGACAGAATAAGTTAGTGATCTGAAGAAATGACAGTGATAACAACTAGCAAGTTTTGAGACACGCATCTAGGACAGCTGGTCCAAGCAGGAGATTACAATCCGTATATGAGTATTTTATTGCCAAGTATCCTCTTCAAGTGATCCAATGAGGAGGGTGTAGTCACTTCATTTAGGAGTGCACTTAAAGTTAGGATATCTAATAATGAGAAAAATTAGGCAAGTACCTGGGTGTTTATCCTTTGATGTACAGTTTTCCTCGTGTCACACGGAGGGGTACCGTGATGATTTTTAGGCAAGACGCTTCTACTGGGATGATTCGGAGTACTTAATACATTGATCGCCATTATTAGATCACCACTGATTCCCTTACAACACAGCTGGGATAATCCCCAGTGTTAAAGTCTATCTTCTTGAGGTTTATTCTTTAGCCTCATTACCCATTTAGTTGCTAGTCTATTTTAAGGGAATGAGGTGCGATGACATTGTAAACTTAAGAGTATGGCAGCACATGTTTTAAATAGAGTTGAGAACTATTCTGGGATGACTGCTCCGAGTTGCCTTCGCGTAAAGTGAGGAGTTGAATCAGTCTTGGGTATATCCTCCTTGAAAATCATCGTCGTAGCTTGAATTGGCACCCATCTTTCTGTGGTTTATAGACTGAGATCACCCTCTGACAAAACATATGCGACCGGACACCTGTGGAGGACCTAAGTTGGCTGTGTCGCTTCTGGCCGAATGCTCATGACGTGAAATTTTGGCTGGTTACAATTTAAAATTTGGTTTGTGTCCATTCCTTTATTGTTGTCAGGTCATTTTGAAACTTAAATAAATCGTTACCGTCTATCATGGACCGCCAGATCTTTTCAACGTCTAGGAGGGATGAAGCATTTAGATCTCCAGCTAAGAGCGTCTGATCAAACCTTAGGAATGTTAGTTGCAATATTGCCCCAATTAACTTATCTTTCTGAGACAGAGTAATTGATGGGGTGCAATGAACCCTTCCAATCAAGTATTTTCTGCCCTTCCTGTTGAAGCAAAACCAGCACGATTCTAGTGCATTGGTTATTTGGGCACTGTTTGCTCATACGGCTTTGAAACGGCTATTGAAATATAAACCGTTACATTACCTTCCGTTTTCTGTGCAGTTTAGCATCAGAAAAATGTCTTGTCTTCCAAACTTCGTTGTCTGAAATTTCGCAGGAAATCCACGTTTCAGTCACGATTATGAGCCTCAGATCTATCTATGAGTGCATATTTACCCATTAGTCCTCTTACGTTGCTTAAGAGGCGCTGTATGGTTTGTGTGTATTTTGAGTGGTCTCTCTGTTGTTCTCACTAATCTGGGTCGGCTCATACAACATGTAATGTGACTAGGGTGATCATTCTTCCTGATGCGCTAAGCCAGAGCCGTCTCAGTTAGATCTGCCGCTTTCTGAAGTTCATAGCCATCAGACGCAGAGACCAACTAGTCGTGAGATGTAACAGACAAGAAATGCTTGCATGTATAGCGGTGTAGAGGTTTATGTTACGTGATAGCCGCTGTCATTATTGAAAGTCACGAGCGTGGGCTTTATCAAGCTACCACTAACAATCTCAGGCACCCCATGAACCACCACACTTGTTTGTTTTTGGCTGTCTTCTGATGTTCCAGCAGCTGCTTCTATACGAATTTAGCCGAAAGCCTCTGATATGCTAGAGGAATTTTCTTCAGAAATCTCTTCCCAGTCGGAAGTCACCGGTATTGAGGGGTTTTATCCTGAGCTGCGTTCTGACCCTTAAAAAGATGGCAGTGTTTCGTTTGACCAGGGTAGCACTCATTCCAACCACCATCAGCCTTTGTCAAAAACACCCTCACATTCCTGTAAGCCACACACCAACACTGGTTCATCAAAAAAGTTGGTGAATTTTTTCAAGCGTCACTGTTCCTGATTTGCAGCATTCTGGGAGTTATGTCGTTGCCTTTTCACTAAGTTTATCTGACCCAATGATCCGTTCTGCCCGGTTGGCTCAATCGGTAGAGTATCAGACTTTTAATCTGTGGGTGGTGGGTTCCTGCCCCTCATTGGGCTCCAACCCTTTGATGGGATAAACCGCATGCGCTTCGCTGACTTTCTTCCATTTTCGGGATACTTTATAAACCCCACAGCTGTAAGAAATTGTATCCATTCATTGGTCGACAATGTGTAAACAATTTCGGGCAAACGCAATCATTCCAAGTTATAACCGACGTTCGCTGTAGGCCCAGATTTTATTGTGGAGATGATATGTGTAGTCTTCCAGTTATTAGGGTAACACTGTGTGGAGAGAGATATAGTAAATAGTTTGAGAAGAATAACACACAGATCATTGCTACAATTTTTCAGCATGCTGGCTGGGATGCCATCTGGTCCTTCAATGTAAGAGTGCTTCAGTGTACTAATCGCCTTAGAAATGTTCTGTACACTAAATTCAACAATGGCGATTTCACAGGAAGGAGGTTGGGTCAGGTGTGACTCATTTGTTGAGTTTTCGTTTGTCAATGTGGCACAAAAATGTTCGCTAAACAACTCTGCGATACTTTTAGGGTCTTCATATACTTGATTGTCCTTAATAAATATGCTCCCTCCTTTCACTTTGGAGCATTTGAGTTTATTCCGAAGGAGTTTTATAAATTCAGAGGATTCATTCTTCAGCTGAACAGCACGCTTTTCCTGTGCGATTGCCTTTTTAGTACGTGTTATTTCTGCCTCGACACATATTTCAGTCATCGTTACTAATGAGGAGAAGTCATTACAGTTATGAAGTCTGGAAGCATGTCTTCGAAGACGTTTTCGTATATGACCTGGCATATATAAGTCCTTAGGAATTCTGGGTCTCCAGGATCCTAAGGGTGCAAATTTATTGAAAATGCTATTTGTGTTTTGATAAAAAATACATTCATTAGTTCGTCGATATTATTTGCGGTAAAGTAGTCAGTCCAGTCAATGCTTCTGAGGCGATTCCGGAAGTTTGATCAATCAGTCCTACGGAAGTCCACAAGAAGTGTAGTGGATTTACATTTTATAGTTGTAGCTCCTATATCAAGGATGCATATGACCATATTATGATCGCTACCTGAGAACTTTTTTCCAACATATACAGTGTGAGGAATGAGATTGCTGGTGAAAACTAAATGCAATGTATTTTCATTTCTGGTTGGGCCGTTAACATGTTGAGTCCACTCTCCAAGCTCTAAGCATTCAACAGGTGACTCGAATCGTCTACGTTCTTTGATTTGGAACCAAGAGTTTCCAAGCATGTTGAAGTCCCTACAAATAGCCTTGCTTGTAAATGGTAGGGATGAAACAAATGTGAATACTTCTGACAATAATGCTAGATCTCCTGTTGGTGCATTAGGCTGACGGTAGACACAGCCGAACAGTAAGGAAACTGCATTTGAGGGTTTCAGAACGATCAACACAGATTCTGGCAATCTCTTTAATTCCGATATATCACATGAGAATGAGTTTAGGCTAGAGTGGGCATATATGAGGCAACCTCCACCTCTTCCTTGTAACCTATCACTTCGAAACAGATCATAGTTTTCAAGAGATATAGTAAGATTAGAAATATTACTACAGGTCAATGCCTCAGTTATCATAATAAGTGATGGTTGGCAGATAGTAGCAAACATGACTAGATCTGTCTTTTTATTACAGATTGAATGAGCATTAATAAGACATATATTAAACAAATGTCCTGCTGATCTAAAATAGTTTAGGGTATCTTGAGTAAAGGATTTACTATGACCTACGTGAGTATGGTATGAGGAGTTGGGGGGGAAACGTTGAGTAAATTACTGGAATTTATAGGAAGGGTTGTTAGCCCAGGGAAAAGGGGCAGAATGTTGTCTGTTTGAGATTGTGCGAAGAGAGTGCTTTTATATTCTGTATGTGGTATGAAATGACTTCAGCTATATATCACGCAAGAGGTACCACAAGTGGCTGTATCCCATAAAATTTTGATTCGGCTGGCATTGCAGTTCACCACCGTTTCTAGTAATGTCTTGATGACACAGCTCGTTACTAAAGTTAGATTTATACGGAGTGCCAGTTGTTATGACCTTTTCTGAATTTGAGGGTCATGTTTACCAGCTAGCTTGGTAGAGTAGGGTGCGTAGTTTTCATTCTCAGCGTTTTTGCGAATTAAAGCCCGGGTATGTAGGATAGGGTGTGGGGTGAAAAATCTTCCATTTCCACTTTCACTAATAATTCTAGGATTTGGTGGTTGAGCAGTGTATCTAGCTCCTGGATAATTATTAGTTGTGTGCATGATCAGATGTTGGTCTGAAATGT